GAACGGCGTGTGGTGTGATTAGGTCTTGTCTCACTCAAGATCTAAAGTATGATGTGATCAATGAGACTTCTGCAAAGAAGATTTGGGAGATCCTTGAGAGCAAGTATTTGACCAAGAGTGTGGAGAATCGCTTGCATTTGAAGAGGAGGCTTTACCGCTTCCAGTTGAAGAAAGGAACCTCCATTGGTGATCACATGAACCACTACACGAAGCTTCTTGCGGATTTGGCGAATGTGGATGTTAAGATTGAAGATGAGGACAAGGCGTTGTTGCTATTGAGTTCCTTGCCTGACGAGGAATATGAGACCTTCGTTCTTACTCTTATTAATGGGAAGGCATCTCTTTCGTATAGTGAGGTCACCGCTGCACTTGTGAATTATCAGCTTCGAAAGAAGGATAAGGAGACTTCGTTTGAGCCGGTAGCGGGGGCGTTGGTCGCAAGAGCAAAGGGTCCAAACCGTAGTGGGAGGTCGCAGTCTAGAGGGGCACATCTTGGAGTTCGTAAGAATCAATGTGCCTTTTGCAAAGAAGATGGACATTGGAAAGCCGATTGCCCAAAGTTAGTTGATCGAGCCGGGAAGAATAAGGGAAAAGCTATTCAAGCTTCAGAGGCGAATGTTGTCAAGGCTAGTGGCAACGATTCAGATTCGGATTCTTCGGGCTACTCGTTATCTGCACTGCCGTCAGTTTGTGTTGCCTACTCTACAGAGTGGATATTGGATTCGGGTGCTACATACCACATTTGCCCTAGGAGGGATTGGTTCTCCAGCTTTCAGGAGTTGGAAAGAGGGGATTTCGTGCTCATGGGGAATGATCACAAATGCTCTATTGGTGGTATCGGTACCGTTCGGATCAGGATGAGTGACGGGGTGATTCGGGAGTTGGTTGGAGTGAGGTTCGTTCCTCAGTTGAAGAAGAACATCATTTCACTTGGAGCTTTGGAGGCAGCAGGCTATAGGGTGACCTTGGCGGATGCACGCTTGAAGGTTACATTTGGGTCCATGATTGTGATGAAGGGCGTCAGAAGGAGCAATTTGTACTATTTGCTTGGGAGCACGGTGATTGATAGGGAGATGACGACTTCATCAGATTCGGCTAGACTGTGGCATTGTTTGGTGCTGGGGTATATGATTGGTAATGCCGTGCATTGGTTGTTGAGGAGTGCTATGACCTGCAGATTGAAGTCCTGTGAGCATATTGGGATGAGCAAGACCGTGGTGGAGTTTGGCATTCCTATCCATCGAGCGAGGGGTCTTTTAGGAGGTGTTCAGTCAGGCATTTGGGGGCCTTCCAAAGAGGCATCATTGGGAGGTAATCGTATCTTAGTTTCCGCAGTTGAAGATTGTTCTAGGCATTATTGGGTCGCGACCAGTTCCCGTTGGTGTAAAGTCCTAGAAGTCAACAACAATTGGAAAAAGTGTATTGGCAGAAAGGTAACTCGTTGTTCTAGATTTGATAAGGGTCCTTTCTTGCGTTTGTGCCGAGCTCACGGCAATAGGAGACACTTCATTGGTGTGGAGACTTTGGGGCGACGAGATGAGATGACAGTTTCGATGAGTCGTTCCTTTCTGGAGGAGGATCGGCGTTGGTTGTCGAGCATTGATTCTGGAGCTTCGACATATTTGGGTCATCTTAGTCACAGGTCGCCGACTGCTGCATTAGGAGTTATTGGATCTGGTGGAGCTGCTTTAGATTTTGGGTTGCGTCGGATATTTGGATACCCAGCATTTGGTCACATCGAGGATGTGAGATTTGATCCGATTGCGTGTTTGGGGTTCGGAGGCTCAGTTGATTATCGTTTGAGAGCTTCGAGTGTTGATCAGGTCGTTTGGATATCGCAGCAGGTGGAGGGTGATGCTACTTCACGTTGGGTGGAACTTATTCCGCATACTCCAGATCATACTGCGTCATTTGGGATTCCAGCTGAGGTGACACAGGTTGGGGATCATTTGATTTCGGATGCTTGATCAGGTCGTTTGGATATCGCAGCAGGTGGAGGGTGATGCTACTTCACGTTGGGTGGAACTTATTCCACATACTCCAGATCATACTGCGTCATTTGGGATTCCAGCTGAGGTGACACAGGTTGGGGATCATTTGATTTCGGATGCAGATGATAGATTGGTTTTGGATTCGGTTGCAGCTGGTAGACATGATTTGGATACGGTCATGGGTTCACCTCAGATGTAGGTGTTTGATTTGTATCAGTTTGGGGCCGCTATTAGTTGCAGATCCGTTGGCGATATTGGGGAAGAGTTGCAGACTTTTCTATTTGTTTGAGGGCCTTTGGAGGCCGTTTGGGTGAACTACGTGAAGGCTTGATTCCTTGGGCAAGAGGATACGTAGGCAGTCAGTTTTGATGCAGCCGATTTGGTGAGTAGATACCGACGTTTGGGTGAGTGTTCGCACTCCCGTTTGGGTCTCGACTTGTGTGGATGGAGTCCGTTGTCATGAGTCCGTTGCCGTGGCGTACTGGATGCAACAAGTGAGGCATTTGTTTTGGTTGGTGTCGGCTCAGTGTTGGGAACACTTCGCCGAGGTGGAGAATTGTGAAAACGGCGAAGGAATTGTGAAAAACGTGAAGAATAACCCAAAACAGACTCCACCACACCCTGGTGTGGTGTCTGCCATGGGTGTGGTAGAATCTGTCCTGCACCACACCCTCTGCCACACTCACGGTGCAGGGTGTGACAGAATCTGTCCTGCACCACACCCTCTGCCACACCCATGGTGCAGGGTGTGGCAGACTCGTTTTTAGAATCCCAATCAGTCTGGGATTGTGTTTTGCTATAAATAGAGACACGTTTTTTAGGGTTTCCTAGGCTTGGTTTAGGCTTTGATTAAGCATTGATTGGGGGCTATTTGGAGCACAGAAAAGAGGTATTTTCTGAGCTATTTGTTTAGGGTTTTATTTGGAGAGATTAAGAGTTTTGTTGGTGAGATTAGTTTGTTCCTTCGAGTGATTTGTAATCTCAGTTTGTACTCTTTCTCTATTAGTGAAAACCCCATCCCCCCTTGCCCCGTGGACGTAGGCAACTTGCCGAACCACGTTAAAATTGGTGTTTTGTTTGTGCATTGATATTTGGTTCGTTTGGCTCTCTTGGATTGGCGTTTGGTTTGGTTCCTCGACACAGCTTCAGTCACAACAATGCCTCTATCATTTCTTCATAAATATTGGGATAAAATTATAGTGTATATCTGAACAAAAGGACAACTCCCCACAACTTGCTCTGTACAATTGTCTATTCACTTTTATTTACATTTTAATTCAATTCAAAAGAACGTGGGCTTATATGCGACGACTCAGCCAGAACAAAAACCAAGGTCAAAAGATTCTTCAATGCAATCAAAGTACTCATAAATTCAACTCGTCAGATCTGATCGGTGGACATTTATTTATTTATTAACCCACTGCCTGATCTAATGTCGTCATAACTTTATTCATTTATTAATTTATTTTACGCATAAAAATATCAATTCCTCTGATTGTGTACAAGAAAAGTTGATAAATAAGATCTTCGTATAAGTAGAGAAACTAGTGTGCTTCGCACGGGAGTTTCCTTTTTCTTATTACTACAGTAATCTCGTTTTTGTTGCTACAGTATTTTTTAATTTTACTATACCTTTTTATGCTGCAGTGATTTTTATGAATGCTACAGTATCTCAACTTTGCTACAGTAAATATTTTGAAATGTCTTCCGCGTCTATGGTACAATAATATTTCTTTGGCACTGCTATAGTAGTGCTACAGTAAATTACCGTATAGCTTACTGTGATACAAATAGTGATTCTTAAATCCTTTCATTATTATAGAGAAATAGATATAGCCCACATGGACTGCAGTCAGCCCTAAACCCAGACTAAAGAATAGTTAGATAAAATAATCAATTTTGATTTAGATCTCAACTAAGATTAGCAAATCTTTGGATACTCTTGAATGTTATGAGAAACCACTTCGTCATTCGCTGCCGTTTAATAATATAGATGAGCACGATTAACGTCCTTACTTTCTTAAATTACACCAACCCATGTGGTTCATTTTAGGGCTTTTCCCACATTTGCCTTTAAATCCTAAGTGTTTTCAATTTAGTCCCTCAAATTATTGAAATTTGGTCCCTAAATCATGTTAGTCGTGTCAAATTAGTCTCGGTAGCTAGCTATCCTAAAATTTGACCAGCGCTAGCCCTGACTCAATTTTAAACAAAACTAGTTTTATTTATTTTTTTTTACCCAATTTTAAACAAAACTAGTTTTATTTTATTTTTTTTTAAAGGGAGGTAGTCTCAAACAAAGCTAGTAAAGGTCAAATTTGACCTTGGAAAAACAGAGTCAAGCTTGGCTCAGTTTTATCCAAACAGAATTTTGCCCAAAATGAGACTTAGTTTGAACCTGACCCATTTTGAGAAGTAAGTTGCCAAACACATATAGTTAGCAAGTTAAATAGAATAACTAACGGTGAGACTAATTTAAAATGACTAATAAGACTTGAGGGACTAAATACCAATTTCACTAACTTGAGGGTTCCAAAATAGTAAACACTTAAAGGGACCAATATAAAAAACCCCGAATTTAACTATATGTGAAAAAAAAAAGATCATGATAAAATAACTACTAAGAATTAACCCGCATAGGCCCGCACCCACGAAAATGACATTTCATACGCATATAAAACATTAGAAGTCACCAATTTACGAAATTGGCACGTGGCTTCGTCACGCAGCCAGCCAAGGTCCAATTAATTTTGCCGACACTACCACGCACCCATGACCGACAAAAAGATGGTAAATTTGATCAAAAATAGTAAAGATAGTAAATTTTTAGTCACAACTAATTACTATTTTATGGAAATTTTTAATACCCATGGTGTTTTTCGTGTGGGTGCCGTATCCATTCTTAGTTCTTGACGACGTCAGAAGAGAATACAATCATCAGGTGAAATAATAGATGGTTATGATTAATGGTTATCAGGTGAATAATAGATGGTTATGATTAATGGTTACCGTGTGATTGGCCTTGTACCAATCCCCGATGAGGATGGTGTAATCTCCTGCCGGGTCGTTAAACGGAACGGGGATCCTCGGCCGGCTGAGGACTCGCGGCCTTCTGATAGTACATTGATGGGAAGTAGAAGAAGCTGCCGATTTGATCCTTGACTTGAAGTTTGTACGTGAAGTTTCTCCCCGGTGGAATCGGACACGTCGTGCCTAGAACTCCGTCCTCGTACGAGTTTTTTCTGTTTTGTACCCCGTTCCTATTTTATAGCAAATTAAACGCACTTATTATTAGCATTTCAAGTAAATCATTATTAATCTCTTACTTGATAATGTTAAGAGTTTTGTTACGGAAAATGAAAAAAATCAACGGATTTGAGACTTCAATAGGAGTAAAAATGTAAGTTGCGGCTTGTGTGTAAATAATGTGTACAAAAAGTTTAAAGCGTTGTAGGAAATTAAACTTCCGCGATCACAATTATCTATTATTTCAACGCTTGTTATTTGTCCGGAATTAATAAAAGCTAATAAGAGAGCAAATCACAAAAGGAAAAGAAAAGTAACTATTAGATTTGCAAGGAATCGCAACCGTTTAAATTTTAATAAATGATTATGGTAGAAGAGGTGAAGTACTACCTGAAAATATATCATTAAACTCTGTTTGAAGGGGGGTATTTGCTCATAACTAACTGATTCTTTCAATAAGTAGCAAATGACTGATAAAACCACATTATTAACCTCAAATAAAAAAAAGTGGGGGTTAGAAAAAATAACTTACCAAGAAAGAAGGAAGGGCTCAGTCAAGTTATTATGCACATTGATAATGAGATTATCATTGGTAACTGAGAAAATATCAGGCCCTGGAAATTGCCCATTTATCAAAATACCCTGTTAGCCAAAACCAACCACATTAATCGTAATTTTTTCTAAAAAAATTAATTAACACTTCAATAAAACAAGAAGAAAAGAACCGAAAATACCTGTTGCTTAACTCCAAGGGGATATATGTCACCAAAAGTCACAGTCCAGTCGAAAAACCTGTAAGGATCTTCTCCAATTGTGAGAGAAATGCAGCAGAAAAATGCAAATATTGCTGCTGTTTTTGCTGTTTTTTCCAGCATTTTTTCTGGATTTTTCTCTTTTTCCCCCCTTTTTTGATGAAAGAGAGGATGAGGATAGTTTTGAATTATATCGTGAGGACTGAAGAGCGGAGAGGGCGGACAGAAAATAATGGGGCGGGGGGGTTTTCCGTATACGAACCCAATGTTTAACTTACATTTATTTTTGGACCCCATCCGCTTTCACAATCACCTTTAAATCTAATAAGACATCTCACTGACTTATTCTTAAACCCACTTGGATGGTGGGCGTGTTGTTGTATGAGGTTTTAAGGGGCCGTTTGGCTCATTAGGTGAAAGTTACTGTAGTCAGAAAACCAAGTGGAAAACTAACTCTGACATCTACAGTAACTTTCGCCCAAAAACACCATATTTTGAGGAGATATGGTCAGAAGCTGCCACATTGGATTTTTAACTGTCACATCAGCATTTTTTTTTGCACAACCAAACAATGTAAACAAGTGAAAGTTATTGTAACCTGACAGCTACAGTAACTTTCAAACAAAAACAACCCAACCAAACAGCCCCTAAAGAAATAAAGCAGCTTACCAAACTTTTAAAATACATAAATTGGATCTTAAAATTTTTCATTAGGATGTTTTGGGAAAAGATAATTTTCATGAGCGGATGGATTTTAACATCAAAGGACTTTGCTATTAGCGTTCTCGAATTAGTCCCCAAAAAAATTTTTAAGCGTTATGTTATTTGTCCTTGAAATTGTTCAATTAATCAGCTGCTAAACAGAAGGGCTGGTTTCAAAATATATAAAATATTAGAGAGGCTAATATCAAAACATAAAGATTTAGGGGGCTAATTTCAAACCGCTTAAAAACTTCCGAACCAAGTTTGGGATACTAACTTCAAAATATGAAAGATTTGAGGGTAATATTAAAAAATCCAAAATAAAAAGTTTACCAAAGTGTTAAAATACATAAGTACACAAATTGGATCTGAAAAGATTCAACGTGGTAAATTGGTTTAAAAGCTAAATTTCATGAGTAGGTGAGCCCAGAAATAAATGCCGTAATCTTGGGCTTGGACGTAAAAAAAGACAACACGACCACACGCGTTGTGTTACACTGTACCTTATGATGTTCTTCGTTATCGTGTACCAATGATTTATTATTGTGACGGGCGCCACGGAGGGAAGCTCCACAGCGCAGTTTGTTCGTGTTATAATATTGGAAGCGGGAAATGAAAAACAAGCTCTGCGTATTTATTTATTGCCATTAATACGTAGTGTAGACGAAGTTTCGTCAATAATAATTGTTTATTATGTACTCTAGTAAAAAGGGTAAATAAACAAAGAGCATCTCCAACAGCTTCCTTATTTCTCATTTTTTAAGAATATAGTTAGGTTTTTGGTCCAACAGATTCCACATCTCATTCCCCAAAATAAGGATGGAGGAGAAAAAATGGGGAAGCTTCCCCAAATCTGCAGCATTCTTCAAATTTTTGGAGGAAAAAATTATATATATATATATATATATAGAGAGAGAGAGAGAGAGAGAGACTCTGTCAAATTTATGGTTCTAAACATGATATATGTGAGATCTAACCACAGGTTCACATGAACACACAGATTTAACGAGGTTTGGTTACCTACATCGTCAAAATCTAATCTAATCACAATTTCACTAATAACCTATGAAATTATAATCAATCTCTCAATTTATATTCTCAACTCTCCGCCTTCTCGATTTCTCCTATGGACACTGCCCTCTGAACCCTTTCTCCCGTTAGAGTTGTAATTCTAGAAGGATACAATTCTGAGGTCTTAATGTTGTATATTTTTCATGTATACCGATATTGTGATAAAAACAATCTGATTAAGGGGGTGTTTGTTTTATTTTTTTTTTTTGGATATGGGGTGGATTTCAAGTTTTGTGATGTAAAAAAACGTTTTTTGGGGTTTTAGACTTCCATAAAACTTGTTTGTTTCAAAATAAGTTTTAGGATATTAAATCCCCAAATAATAAAAAAAAATAAAATATTTAAGGATTTGTAATATCCTCTTTTTCATATGGGATGTGGGGTGTATTTCAAAAGCTTTATACAAATTATGGATTTCAAATTCCAAAAAGTTTAAAACAAACAAAAATATTACAAATTATAGTATTCTAAATCCTAAAATATTGTCTAAACAAACAAAGTTTTAGGAATCTCAACCCATAACAAATTACCTATGGATTTTAAATCTCATATTAAAATCCGTATCGTAAAATTATAGGATTTGAAACAAACACCCCCTAAGTAGGTAATGGGTGGGATTTGAATTTGCCTCACGTCTAAAAAAAATAAAAAATAAAAACTTGCTACTGAGTTGGAGTGGATTGGGCCCACACAACATGCGATGCGACGCTGTTGTCGTCGCTGTAAAGTACACTCGACAGCTCACATCACCATTTGTCAACTCTCCCTCATTTCGAACCTATTTTGTTCTACCACACGGAGAAACCATGTGGAGTCGTGGTGGGTCCCAACTATGTAAAAATATTGCCACCTTGTGTACAACAATGAATGAAAAAAATTGCACCGTCAAACTGAGGTCCTAGATTTATTTTGTTTTATTTTATTATTTTTTTTCTCATTATATGCTCTCTCCTCTGGGTTGGTTCCTCTTTTGAAGAAGCGCCCATTATAGACAGAGGCCCCCTTTTTTCATATATTTGTTTTTGGTTTTTTTTTAAAGATGTATGTTTGTTTGAAGTAACGTGCAGGCATGTTTGCTTCATTGAAGTTTGTCCGTGTTTGGATCCTCTTGAAGAATTTCTTGTATTTGAAATTTTTACATTTTTAATTATTTCCTTTTAGGTGCTGTTTGGTACATTTCCGAGAAAAAAAAAACAAAACAAAAAACAATGTTTGAAAACTATTTCTTAACATTTCAGAGAGTTTCCCCTATTTGATTTAGTTGGTTTGTTTCATATTGAAATCATAGGCTGGAAAACGAGGATTTCCAGTTTTTTGGGTTTGTTTGAATATCCAAAAATTAAGAAATATCATTTCAGCCGCCGTTCCAATAGTGCTTTTGAGCAATTAAATATTATCTTTTAATCTCAGTCGTCGTTTCAACAGTGCTTTGAGCAATTAAAAATTGCTTGAAGTGACATTTCTCACCCATTTCAGCTCCTTTTGGTTTGAAATGGGTTTTCTACAAAAGCTGACGTGACATCCCATTTCACCCCCTCATTTCTTTAAATCGCACAACGAACCAAACGCGGGGAATGAAAATGTCTTGAAATCAAAATCCTATGTGGCACTGTTGTCAGATTTCAAATCCTCCATTTCTCTCTTTTTTGAGCAAACAAGCAGCCCCTTAGCATACTTCACAGCTTTTTTTTTTTTTTTGCTTTATTGCTAGTTTATATAAATTCTAAGTTAAAATATACACACTTTTAATTTCGTTGGTATATTTCCTAAATCATGATGATACATTTTGCTAGTTATAGTTATTCGATATATATAAATGCTGACTAGTATCTTTGAACTGCAACTGTCCCACTTTTTGCTAAATATAAATCATAATCTTTCATAAAATAATAAATAACTTCGATGAAAGAGAACTTGAATCCGTTTATTTTGCTGATAAGGACAGCAACCACATCGGAGGCTCTTAATCTAGCGATTGGTTGTTAGAAAGCGCCAAATACCTTTTTTTCAAATATGGTGATACTAATTAAGCTAATTACAAATGATTAATTGGCAGTTCATCTGTCTACTAAAAACTGACACAAGCACGTTCACGTAGAGAGGGACCATGAGCTAAGTTTGAACAGATCACGTGATTGTTTTAAGTTATGACATTAATCATTTACACTGGACAATTTCGGACACTACTCTTTTGGGAACTTAGCCTTATAATCTACAAATGAATTATAAGTCAAGTAGATTATAAATCAAAGTATTTAGTAAAAGAAATCATACATCAATTATAACCAAAGTGTTTAGTAAAAGAAATCATACATCAATTATAACAGGAGAGTGTTTGACAAATAGATAGGTTATATAATCAACCATTATTATCAAAATAACTAAAAAGAACATAACTCTAAATTGAACAATTTTTCAAAACAGTCCCATTTTATTTTATTTTTATTTTTAAAATCGACCCATTTTTTTATTTACCAAAACCAACCAGTTTTTTGCCACGTCAGCCTAATCACCGAAAAACAACGTTCTTTGAGCAACACAACAAAATAGAGCAAAATCTACAAACAGATCAACAAAGAACAGATAATCCAGCACTCAAACCACAAAAGATACCTAAAGGCTATGAAGCTGCATAGATTGAACAAAATCATAAGGCAAACTTATACACACAATGTACTATCAACTGATGTCGATATCGCACTTTTAAGAACAAAATATCACAATCCAGCAAATCAAAGAAAACTCCTAGGAAAAACAAATATTAACCGGCCTGGTGAAGAGGAGAATATTTAAGAAACTAGTCTGCGGTTGAAGTTCCACATTGTACAAAAAATACCCAACATGAAAGGGCGCGCCCATTGAATAAAGCCAGGATTTTTCTTGTAGTGACAGATTCAATTGTTTGTTACAGAGGGAATTTGAGAGCCCGAGCAAGTAGAAGGAACACCAGAGCTACTGTTCAGATGTAGAATCGGATTGGGTTCTTCGATGCAAATCTCGACATAGCATCCTCATGAAGTCCTGCAACATTACTTCCTTTTAAGAACCTCATACCAAATACAACGTAAATACTATGAAAGCTTAAAACAGATAAACGTTGTAAGAAGAGACCGCCTGAAATCTGGCATTTCCTACGGGTGTACGATCAGAAGGGCAGTAAACTCACTGGAGCTTAAAAGCTCAAAATAAATTATATGGAAAGTTGGAAACAGTGGATAAATTTACACTTGGGTCACCTTACGCATGTTAGTCTGACTTGGTCTTGTGTGACCAAATCAACGCTTCTCAAGTGGAGAAAAACGTGGGATATGGAGTTTGTTAAGAGAAAATCTCTCAGAGGCAGTTTGAGGAGGGTGGAGATAATGGGATTTCGGCCTATAAATAGTGGATTAATCTCCATGAGAAATTACAACAAAAAAGGGGAAGAAATCAAACTCCTAACCTATTACCGGAGCCCCCCTTCAACGAAATCTTTCTTTTTCTTCTCTGTGATCAAACACTGGTATCAGAGCAGCGTCGATCTCAACGCCGCCCTCTGGAGCTCTGGGTCAATCAACCACCTCGACCACTCTGCTACGACGTTCGACGACGACGACGATTCTGCTGTTGCGATCGAGTCAATCAACCACCTCGACCACTCTGCTACGACGTTCGACGACGACGACGATTCTGCTGTTGCGATCGACGACGGCGACGACGAACTTGTCCGCCAATTCGCATCTGAGCCGCGACGACGATCGACCACGACGCCAGAGTCTCCATCCTCGGCGAGCTCCTGGATTTAGATCGAGGAAGAATTCTGCCGCCCCTTGCAATTTTTTTCCGGTCCTCAACCCTAGCTTGAAGATCGAGATTTTTTTTAACAGAGGAATCAAGAGGAGTAGTTTGGCCTTTTGTGTTTGGGCCTGGTGATTAAATATCCACGAAAAGCTAAGTAATATACTCCTTGCTAACTCTTCTCTGTTTTAATTAATAAAAAAAAAGGGAAACTTGGGCCTTTGTAGTTGGGCCTGGTAGCTACTGTTGGGTTTAAACTCTTAGATCCAGCGTGAGGAGTATTATATAAGTAGTAATATCAGATTCTTCACACGGTGGATCTTCTCCAAAATTCAGTCAGACAAGTGCTTATACAATCAACACCACTAAGTGACCATCTTGCTCAAATTGGAGCCTCTTTCATCAACTCGGATCAATCAGGTTCATTTTTTATTTAATTTATTTATTTTTTTAACTTTATTATTATTTAGTATTATTGTTACAATATCAACCTTATACAAATATTTAAAATTGAATTTAGTTTTAGTTCTCTACCGAATGGCTAGTAAACTCGTTCTATCAGAACTAGGCAAAATTGACAAATTTAATGGCAGTAATTATGATATGTGGCATAGAAAAATAGGGTATGCTCTTATTCATGACAATATTGATGATATAATCGAAACCACTGCTCCAACCCTGACTGATAAATCTACACCTGAAGAAAAGAAAGGGTTTGAACAGTGTAAGTCGAAAGATAAAAAGGCGAAAAGTCTTATGCTCATGTTCATGGAAGATAATTTAATCAAAGTTTTTGAAACTTATAAGACTTCCATGGACATATGGAATGCAATAAAAGAAAAATACGACACTGCTTCTGAAGTTAACATCCAACTACTCTTGCATAAGTATAATTCTTGTCGTATGCAAGAGGGAGACAATGTCGTAGAACATATAAATAAAATGATTGTCATGGCTAAGGACTTATCCACTGCTGGGACCGAAATCCCGGAAAGAATGCAAGTGGCAACCATTTTGAATAGTCTTCCCCCTTCACTTGCTGTGGCTGCCACCACATTAAGAATGAATCCTGCAAAAGAGAATTCGTCGGTGTGACGGAATGTAATGCTGTGATGACGGATATCAGTGGTTGGTGGATCGACTCCGGTGCGACTAGGCATATCGCAAAGGACAAGAATGGAGTCGTAGAATTCACCGAGCTGAAGAAAGGAGAACAGAGAATCTATATGGGAAATAATACCTATCTCGATGTAGAAGGTATTGGTTCGTATAGATTGGATCTTGGGGACAGCATTCTTGTCCTCAAAGATGTGTTCTATGCGCCAGGAATTCGACGCAATCTGATCTCTGTTCCCAGCTTGATGAAGAAAGGACTGGAAGTGAGGTTCTATAATAACAGGGTTTCTATAGGCAAGAATAATAAAGTGTATGCTATGGGAAAATATGTGCCCGAGCATGAATTATGCATTCTTCCAGTAGTTTGTAATAATTCTGATAATAAAATTTCGAATTTGAACTACTTGTCCTGTTATATTTCTGAATCTGAATTGTGGCATTCTAGACTAGGACATGCTAGTATTTCAAAAATGAAAGAAATTATCAGAATGAACTTGCTTCCTGCACTATCTAATGTTCAATTGCCACCATGTGAACATTGTTTAACTGGTAAAATGACTAGAAAACCTTTTGTTGGCGGACATAGAGCCAATGAACTTTTAGGGTTGATACACTCGGATATTTGTGGTCCCCTAAGTGTCAAAACTCATAGTAATAAAGAATATTTTATTACTTTTATAGATGATTATTCCAAGTTTGCACACGTCTATCTTATATCCAGAAAATTAGAAGCTTTTGACTGCTTTAAGAGATATAAGACAGAAGTTGAAAACCAACTTGGATTGAAAATCAAAATTTTGAGAACTGATAGAGGTGGAGAATATAATTCTAAAGAATTTGAAAGTTATTGTATTCAGCATGGAATTAAAAGACATACAACAATGCCGTATACGCCACAACAGAATGGTGTTGCTGAAAGAAAAAACAGAACATTATTAAATGTAGTTAGATGCATGTTGTCTCATTCTGGTCTCTAAAAACTTTTGGGGAGAAGCATTGTTAACTGCAAACTATATTTTAAATAGAATTCCCACCAAATTAGTTATATCTACACCTTATGAATTATGGAATGGGAGGAAACCTAAATTGAGTCATCTCAGGAAGTGGGGATCTATAGCCCATGTTCTCATTCCATGTTAACTTAGAGATAAGTTTGACTTTAAAATAATAAAGTGTAGATTCATAGGGTATTCAGAAAAGTCAAAAGGTTATAAGTTCTACAATAAAGAAAAAGGTGTCATTAAAAGCAGAGATGCTACATTTCTAGAGAATCTAGAGGAAGAGGAACAAGTTCAAGAGGAAACAGAACCTCTAACTGTAATAGATGATGATTATTACAGTGTTCTCACTAATGACCCTGATATTGTGAATGAACCTAACCTTGAAAATGATGAAATACCTATGGAAAATAATATACCTAATCAACCGGTTGTAGGCAACAAAAGGCAAAGAACACAACCTTCATGGATGGATGATTACTATTTGTATTCATGTGAGTCATCCTGTTTTTCGGTAGATACAAATATAGAAGAACAAGATCCCTGAACCTTTTCTGATGTGATGAAATCGCATGAATCAGCTTCATGGCTAGAATCTATGAGAGAAGAATTTGATTCCATAGAAAAGAATAAGGTATGGGAGTTATGTGATCTACCAGAAAATAGGAAAGCCATAGGATGCAAATGGGTGCTCAAAAAGAAATATCGTGTTGATGGATCTATTGATAAATTCAAAGCACGGTTAGTTGCCAAAGGTTATAACCAGAAGGCAGGAATAGATTTTCAGGAGACGTATTCTCCTGTAGTTAAATTTACATCCATTAGAATTATTTTGGCTATTGTTGCATATCTTGATTTGGAGTTATTCCAAATGGATGTTAAAACTGCATTCCTTAACGGAGAGTTGAAGGAAGCAATATATATGCAACAACCTGAAGGTTTTCAGGTGAAAGAACAAGAACATAAAGTTTACAAATTAATGAAATCTCTATATGGTTTAAAACAGTCTTCTAGACAATGGTATCTCAAATTTCATGATGCAGTTACTAAACTTGGTTTTATTCAAAATAAATTAGATAATTGTGTATATGTCTTGAAAAGTGGGAGCAAGTTTACTATATTATCCTTATATGTGGATGATATATTGCTCGCTGGAAATGACATAGAAATGTTGAATAAAACCAAGGCAGATCTCAGCGAAAAGTTTGAGATGAAAGACATGGGAGATGCATCATATATTCTTGGAATTCAAATAATTCGAGATAGAAAGTCTAGAATGCTAAGTTTAAACCAAGAAAAATATTTAAGATCAGTTCTTAAAAGGTTTGGAATGGAGAATTCCAATCCGGCACCAACTCCGTTGGTTATGGGAAAGAGATTATGTAAAGAGCAAAGCCCTGGAGAGGGGCAAAAGCCATTAGATGTTCCTTATTCTCAAGCAATTGGAAGCTTGATGTATGCAATGTTGTGCACCAGACCTGATATAGCTTATGCTGTGAGTCTAGTCAGTAGATATCAAAGTAATCCAGGACCAGCACATTGGGAAGCCTTATGCTCAAGCAATTGGAAGCTTGATGTATGCAATGTTGTGCACCAGACCTGATATAGCTTATGCTGTGAGTCTAGTCAGTAGATATCAAAGTAATCCAGGACCAGCACATTGGGAAGCTGTTAAAAGGATTATGAAGTATATCAGAGGTACATTGACTCATAGATTAGTTTATCAAGCCGATTCGCTTGAACTCCTCGGTTATTCCGATGCTGATTTCGGAGGTGATAAAGATGATGGAAAGTCCACTTCGGGACACTTATTTATCTTTGGAGGAGGAGCTGTTTCTTGGAGTAGCAAGAAACAAGGGTGTGTTGCTAGATATACGCAAGAAGCTGAATATATAGCTTGCAGTATGGCAACTACACATGCTGTCTGGATAAGACGGTTTTTGATTGATCTTGATCTCAATTTGTTAGAAGGACCTATTGATATTTATTGTGATAATCAAGCAGCAATTAGCTTAATCAATAGTGGCGCGAATAGCTCCAAAGGAAAACATATTGAGATCCAGTATCACTATATTCGAGATATTGTAGAAAAGGGAGAAGTCAAAGTGACTTATATCCCTACTACAGATATGATTGCTGATCCTTTGACAAAAGGAATACCAGCGGAATCTTTTATCAAACATGTAAGTTTGATGGGACTTAGGAATAAATAAGTCCAAGTAAAATTTCATGAATAATGAAATAAGAGTTACTCTCTACGGATAGTGGGAGTAATGGTAAGCAGAAACATCCGATCTCACAAATAGTGAGAGGCATGTCACTTGGTTGATTTGGTCAAGTGGGAGATGTTAGTCTGACTTGGTCTTGTGTGACCAAATCAACGCTTCTCAAGTGGAGAGAAACGTGGGATATGGAGTTTGTTGAGAGAAAATCTCTCAGAGGCAGTTTGAGGGGGGTGGAGATAATGGGATTTCGGCCTATAAATAGTGGATTAATCTCCATGAGAAATTACAACAAAAAAGGGGAAGAAATCAAACTCCTAACCTATTACCGGAGCCCCCTTCAACGAAATCTTTCTTTTTCTTCTCTGTGATCAAACAAAGCGGACCCACTTGAGAAAATGAAGCCTTTGCTGAAACTACAAAGATAAGGTCCTGGGAATGCTCACGTCATCGGGTACTGAGTTTTATTCATCCTTTGTTAACGAAACTGGACTCTACAGAAGTCAAAAGGCATTCTAATTCTTTTGCTTTCTTCATATAACGCTTGAGTAGCGAATTATAAGAATAAACTTAATAACTGTCTGTCAGTATAGTCTTTGCATGTCGGCATTTCAGACGGTCTTTGCATGTTGGCATTTCAGACGTATCCACATCTGAAGCCTTATGACACAACTGCAAGGTTTACCGGGCATAGAAGTTACTGGTAGATAGTTCAAACTATGAAAACAAAAAGCTTGCGTAAAAGTTATGACCAGTATCAGCTGAGAGCATCCTGGAAAATGGCCTCAACCATATCACCATTTTAATGTCAGCAAAATACAAACATTATTATAGTTTTAATTCCTTTAAACCCTTGGCTAGCGCAGTTATGGGCCCACGAAACTAATATCTAAGAGCAACCTGGATAGTGGCCATAGCTAAATCACCTTTCAAATGTATGCAAAATAGAACCAAATTTATAGTTCTAACTCTTTTAAACGTTGGCCAGGGCAGCTTTGAGACTTCCATAGATCGCATAATCTATATAAGGTAGCAGATGCATTCATGTCCTACACTAAGCTACATATTATCAGCAAGTAGATGATCATATGATAGTACATGCTCTAATAAACCTGCTCAACTCACAGGATTATGCAAATATTTCGCGTAGCAACTAGATTGAATGCACTACAAAATATAAGTATGAAGAACATATAAATTCTTAAAAACATAAAAGTACGTTACCTAGATTAACTCATAATATAAGAAAAAATCTAAAGAATTAAAGAAAACAACATCTCTTCAGCAAAAATACATAAAAATTCTTACATCCGACAATTTAAAAAGATGTTCAACTTAAAGTCCTGAGCAAACAGTACAAGTAACTACAGGGCTGTGGAGTGTATATGTTTGGTTAGGCTACGGTCACACGAACATTATATAAGATGCATAAAATGCACAATAGTAAAACAATAAAAATGAATGTGCATTTTCTGTAGGCCTCATCACTGTAGTTGTAAATGATAGTTGAAGAGAAAAACAGGAAAATGGATGAGCATGTCTTGTAGGTAGCATTATTCTGTTTTTGTAAACAATAGTTGAGAAGGCTTATTTGCGGTTTAGCCAATCTGATGGGTTAAAAGCAATTATGGTGACAACAGAAAAGGTTTCTGTAATGTATCCATGATTACGTCAAAAATCTTCCTTGCACCCTCAGACGATGAATGTGTCCAACAGCATATCAGCCAAATTATCTTATAACAGAAACTAAAGAGTATGAAAAGTAAAATAGGAAGATCCTCAATGATTCAAATGGCAACTTATTAACCGAAGCATATACAGTCAGGTCAGACTCTTAAAAAACAATATAACAAAACAGAGGCACTTACATCAGTGAGCTCTTCATTGTTAACAAGTGTACTGACGAGATCACCAAAACTGTTTTGTTCACCCAACAAGTTAGCTGCACTTTCCAGCACAGAACCAAAAACATTTCTTGGGGAATCATGCTGTTCAATACTCTCGACTGCGCGCCTGATATCAGCCTGGCAAAGGGATCATGGTCAAAGTGTAATCAAAATGAAACCTACTTAGCCAATAAAATTAACCAAGCATACATCTGCCAAGAAAGCACCTATTAACTTCTATAAATTATTACGGAAAGGGGAAAAAATAAGGGAAACACTCCACATATACTATATACACACATACAAACAAATGATTACAGTACAACTCATCATTTCAATTTCTCATTGGCACTAGGACGCTTATAACTCAAGAAATTAGCAAAGAAACTTTTCTTATTAAAAATTGAAATTGAATAAGAAAAAAATTGATATTTGGATAAGAAATAATTCCAAGAAATAATATCCCTTTAGAAAATTTACGAAGCATACGTTCAAGCTAAAACTGGGTTCTGACAGAATCTTAAGCGGACAACATATACAAAAAGAAATTCGCTTTAAAAGAAAGCTGAACTGAATAGAGCTCAACACTAAATATGAAAATGAAAGGGCCTAAATAACCACGACCCTTCAATATTCACACACCACAAACACTGAATTCTTATTTTAGACTTCACATATCTGATGAGTTCATACCCCAAAAAAAAAATTTTGTCTTTAATTTTCCAGTTGCACCATTTACCCATTCCCTTGCTTTATCACATAGCTATTACATAGCTATATATAGCTCCGCTGTTATAATCTAGTAGTGATAAAATAGAAATGATTACCGTTGAGTCTCTCTCATGCACCGTGTCATCAGTAACCCTGCCACCATTGTCACTCTGAGGTTGACTGTTAGGTTGCAAGCTAGGTGCAGGTGCTGATCCTGTTGAACCCCTAAGAGCTTGCGAAACAGCAGGCATCATGTGCTGAATCATCCTTGAAAAGTCTAGTCCTCCACCTTGGCCATTCCCAATCTCTGAAAATATTGCCCCAAGACTTTCCGGCTCTCTTTGTACTTGTTGCGTAATGTTATTCAGTGTGTTTCTAATAGCAGGATTTTGAGTACACTGTTCTAACATGCTTCTCAAATCATCTGAGGAACCAATCCCAGTCTGTTCAGCTATTCCTGACAAAATATTGCTGAAAGCAGGGGTTCGAAGGACAAGAGACATCATGTCAGCAGGATCAACTTGAGTATGGTCATTGGTAGCTTGATCTTGTGAAGGCAAAGTGTTCATATTTTGACCAACTAAAGAGGTTTGTTGACTAGATGTGCTGTTAGTATTTGCTCTTTCTCCATCAGAGCTCTGAGACGCAAGGGATTGTAAAAGTTGTTGACCCCTAGCAATAGAGTGCGGGTCCTGATTAATTGGCAGTGTCTCACGTTCTACATTGTCGTTCCCTACTGTTTTTGCGGTTTTACCCCGCCTCTGTGCATATACATTTACAACGAGTGAGGATGTACAGTGATATTTTGACATTTAAAAATACAAAATGTTACGGAACAACTTAATTACAGAAATCTAAATTACCTTAGGCTGCAAACCTCCAAGCCCTAACCCCAAAGGAGTAACCCTGTTACTGTCACTACCCTGGCCCAATCGTGCAGTATGTTCTGCCGAGGTAGTAGCTGATGAGTTCGCATCAATGCCTGAACCTCCATTTGGGTGCAAACTATTAGATTTGGAGCTGCTCTCTTGAGAGATCTGGAAATGTCAATTACCCATGATAAATTTGCCGGAAAGTCCAATATATAAATATTAGAAAAGAAAATAGTACACTGATTAAATACATCATGTACTTCATCTATAGGCATGCTAACACCACGGGCCGTTGAAGAAGTACTTTCTTGCTCTGCAGAATCAGCACTTCCAGTGTGATCTTTGACATCATCCTGAGCCGAATCTGCTGAAAGCAAATGTGATCAAAGAAATAAATTAAATAAATAAGATCATCAATCAAACCAGCACAAACAAAGTAACAAACCCATAAAAAATATTCTTCAAAGTTGTCCACCCACCAGGAGAGGCTTGTTGAGGTCCTTCTCTTAGGCATGATGAATCAGTCAACTGGGTATCAGGAGATGGACTGTGGCCAGGTGCATTACTGGGTATTGAGGGTGTTTGATCCATTTGCCTAGCCATATTGGATTGTGCTAAAAAGCCTTGAGCTTCAGTAGTTTGCACACTCTGTGATGATGAACCAAACCTTAGTGCACCACCAGCAAGCGCATTGGCAACTTGCGCACTTATCTGTTGTATAAACGGTGGCAAGCTCCTCAACTCCGAAGAAGGCTGAGGAGCAACAACGGGAGGTTGGGTCCCACTGTTCACAGCCGTACCTGACCTTTGTGAACCACCACCAAGTGCATTAACAACCTGTGCACTTATCTGTTCTACAATTGATGGCAAGGTTCCGGTCTCTGAAGAAGGCTGAGCAACAACAGTAGGACGTTGTCCACTGCTGCTCATAGTTGGATTGGGAGCTTCAGCTGAAGCTGAAGGAAAGGGAACAGAGAGCTGAGACCTTACTTGAACAGGATATATTACGCTAACGACATGACCGCTAGTTTGTGTAGGGGGGCGTGTTGGAATAGCTGCAACAACCGTTCTAGGAGGAAATCCTGGTGTTGGAACTGAATCCCCTGTACCATTACCTTCTCTGTTTGCTTGTTGAGCTTCTCCAGTAGCTCCTCTAGCAGCAGCATTTGATACCCCGGGAATAAAGGAACTTCCTGAATGTCCCATGAAATCAGCAAATGCAGAGAGAAAATATGGAGAAATATAATGTTTTTACCTGTATGTATGTGGATATTTACATGTCTCGAAGAATCTCCTGACGGCCCATTAACCATAGAAGCTGACGGAGTGCCAAACAGAGAATTTGTTTGCATAGGGAAAGGCTGCAAAGAGAACAATACTAATTGAAATAAGGTGACTAGCAACAAGAGACATGAGGCGTAATTACCCGGATAAAAGTACCTGAACCATTATAGGATTTGGTCCGGAAGAAGATATATAAACCGCTGGACCAGCATTTACCACAGAATCAGCCTGAATATCCCGAAAAAAGAAATGTCAATCATTAATACCTACAAGAAGTCTTACAGAATGAAATACAGCAGAAATGCAAGGCATTGATGTTACTTACTGGGGATTGTCCCATGCGAAGTGTCATAATTGTACGGCCAAGTTCCAAAAGCATAGCACCTAAATGCTGCATTGCTGCTCCTATTTGCAATGCTTCAGCTTGTACCTGACCTCGTACTGCTGCGTCTGTTGAAGTTCCTTCTCTTTCCAGACGTGTAGCAACTCGCTAGGAGGCACAAGAAAAAATAGACGATCAGACAAAGCATGATGTTTGAGAAAGTAGATAAGGCCAAAAAATATATTGAACAAGAGTGATTTTTTATGAATCCAAATGAAAAAGGGGGCCAATTGTATGCACGCAGAAACATAATTTTTGTCATTTGAAATATAGTAGTAAAGCGATCTACAAGGACCACAAGGACACATACGGAGAGTGCAGCTGCAGCATTGCCTCTGAGCAGTTCTTGCGTTTGTTCCATAACCCTTCGCAACATTTCAGGTGTCAGAGCTCCATTTGCACCCAGGGACGGAGTTTCAGTGCTCGGAACACGTAGATTATTAGGTGAAGGCTGAGAACCTTCAAACATATGATATTAAGGCAAGGCGATATTAGTCATATGTTATAGTGACTCTTAGTTGTAAATATTCACATTAACAAGCTTACCGCCATTTTGCAATACAACCTCCATGCGACTGATGAATTCAGAAAGAGTTGATAAGGAATCTGGTATACTCTGAAAAGAAAGATATTGGAAAATGTAATATATCAAAGAAAATCTGCACAAGAAAGCCATACAACAAAAGTATATAATGAGTCCTACCATATGTGGAGATAGAAACCTAGCTGGTGGAAATTGTGGAACTTGATGTAGAGGTGGAAGAGGTATATTGAGGCCTGTAGAAGTTAATGACGTTGAATTTGATGCAGGACTACCACTAGAATCCTGGTTTCTTTCTGCTTCAGCACCTGAAGAGGTCTGATGGGACATCGAAAGACAGTTAGTTCAGAGGATTTTATGTATGCAGAAAGGAATACACCTACTTAAAACATCACTCACTGCAGCAACAGATGGTGTGCCACTAACTGATCCAGTAGGATCACCAGTCGAAACTCCAAAAGAACTTAAAACTGCTCCAACAAGCTGCAGAGAAATCAATGAGCAAATAATGCATACTAGTGCCCAACTCAATTTGTCCAACTCAATTTTGAAATTTAAAAGAACTAATTTTTGGATGATATACCCGACTGATGTCAACTACCATATTCTCCCCTGGGTCTGCAACATTAAGAGTTCCAAGAAGAACACTATGTGAAATCTGCCCAATCCTGTTACGTGGAGCACCAGGAGTAGAATCACTTCCTACAGGGGATAGAGAAAGTACATACTGTAAGAGCAAAAATAATTGTGCCTTTAACCTGAAGTATCAAACAGTGCTCTAAACAAAGCTGCAGTTAAATAACAAGAATATCATACACAAAGATAGTTTTTAATTCTTGCATGAGTTATATAGCAAAGCTTTTTTTCCTTTTTTCCTCTCCATTTCATATATTCACTAAGGTCTAGTTTTTAACTCTCACAGTGAAATAACAAGAATATCATACACAAAGATAGTTTCTAACTCTGAGTTATATAGCAAAGCTTTCTTTTCTTTTCTTTTTCTCTCTGTTTCATACATTTGCGAAGGTCTAGTGACTTTTGAAGGGTTGTGTGTTGGATACGCAAGCAAGAGCTTAAATTGCATGACCAATAAGATATCAAAAACGGAACCTCCTTAGATTTTATTGTAATTCCCCTAATAACAGGAAAGAAAATGGCACCCGATGGCAAATTGGAAGAAGGAATAAATCTAGGCTGTTGTAAAATTTGTTTAGCCCAAAAAACATTTACATAAAATATGAAAGAAAGAACACATGCCCAATAATGATATGTAGCTATTTAGGAACCAGATTACATATGACTTGATAAAAAAAAAGACAGTGCTGAGTTCTCGTCGCCATTAAAATTCCAGGAGTATCTACTGGGATTCACCCAAGGAACATAAATTTGAATAGTGTTATCTAATAACATAATTCTACTATCAATCAAGTCCCCGTGCACCCAAGCAGCCTCCAGCTATTAGCTCTAAGCCCGTTAACTATCATAGTGGCCTTGCATTCATCTGACCAAGTTAGGTTGATAATCATTATTAGCTTGTCAGGCATGGGAAGACACTAGAGCAAATAAGTACCAAACTACAACCTGACGCTGATAACAAACATGATGCATCTACGATTGCGAGCCACTTGAAAAACAGTTATGTTTGGAGACCACGTGTTTTATATATCTATGGAAAACACATCAAGATCAGGGTATTTTAAAAATACAATAAAAAACTTATAGATGGTGAGACATAGATCTATATTCCTGTACCTTTTATGGTTTACAATACTAAGAACGCATAAAAAGTGGCAACAGAGCCCAATAAAAGAATAATAAAAAAACTTTATTCGTCACTAACCAAAAAAACTCAATATAAGCGTCCAAGCATGCAGAATTAGTACCTAATATCTTAGAAAGCATTGCCTTTCATAAGGTAAGGTTCCTATCAATTCATAATGCTATGGCAGTCTTTATTACACGTAACAGAAGAGCATAGACTCCATACAAATTTTACACTTCAGGGTAAACACAAGGAAGAGGCATGTTAGCTCGAGATTTATCAGGGGATAAGCAGCCAAAAGATAAGCAGTTTTAATAGATAACAAAGAATAGTAAAATCAAATGAATCTTATTGTGTGGATATTTACTTGTCTTCTGTAATTAGATTGCAGATAGCCCTATGCAAAATTTCCTAGATGTTCAATACCTTACGTAAGCATGTAATTCTAAGTTCCCAACAATAGTATTAAAAAAAAGGAAACCATATTTTTTTTAAAAAAATTACAACCAATAAAACTGTCTTTAAGCGAGATAGCCTACAAATTGCACCTTGGTTATTATCTTGTGCAGCACCCTCAGAACCTGCTCCTGATGAGGCTTGCCCCTCAACTGGCTGTCTTGCAACTAAATGTAGCGTATGACCATCTTCCAAATCTACACATAGTGAAGGATAAATCTATCCAAGATAAAGGTGAAGTGAAATAAAGCACAAAAGAAACATAAATGGATAAGAACTATTATGACCAATCTTGACTAATAATATACAAAGAGAATAGAAATATTAACTCAAAAGTATTTAGTTCATCTTTCTAAAAGATTCAACAACAAAGTGAGATGCACATGCTTATTACGTATCATATTCTGAGAGATTTGCTTACTGCATGTCACATATTTTGGAGAAATATTTTTTATAGCAAACTATACCCATGTAGCAAAACAAACTAAGGAACGTGAGATATACTCGTCTACTGCACATCATGTATTTTTGATGCGAAACGGGGAAGGGGGTCTATCGGGATCAGCGATTCAATTTGAACAAAGCACTGTTTCGCCAAAAATCATGATATTCGGTAGGAAAATAATTCGAAAACAACTAATGTGACAGATGGATTTTAACAAGGTTTGCATTGATAATTATGAATAATCCCAATCTCAAACAATTTAATCACAATATTCATTATCATTTCGCAAGTTCTACAATCAATATCAATTTTTCAACAGTCACAAATTCAGTTCTCTCAACTCACAGATATAATTAAGCAGCGAATATATGATAAGAATTTAGAGATGTATTATTCATGCAATTAACTAATAAGCTAAGATTAACAGAATAATAGAGAGAAAACAAAACCTTCCCTTGATCTCTAAGATCATCCGCACGCTGTATTGATTATCTGAAAATTACCCGAATCCAAGAGGCCCATTAACTACATTGGGGCCCACAGCTGATCCCATCAATATAATCTAATCTCTGTTCTTCTTCCATCTCAGGAAAAAAAAAGAGAAGCCCATGGGTGTTCGGTGCAGCTCCGATCTGAGGAGAGGTGCATGGTGGCTACTGTTCGGGTGCAACGAGCAGGGGGAGGAGGCAAACAAGTGAAGGCTCGCGGGGGCTAAAAGCTTGGACGGAAACAGGAGTGATCGCAGGGAGTTTTGGGTTGGGGGCGGTCGGACTGCTTGGGGAAGCCAAGGAAGGGTTCATGGGGAAAAGGGGGGAAGAAAGAGGGGGAGTGGTGGCTCGAGGGTGAAGGGGAGCAGGGCTTTGGACGGCGGCTAGGTTGTTTGAGGACGGACGGAAGCTAGGGTTCAGGTGAGGGTTTCTCGGTGAAGGGAGAGGTGACTGACGGTTGCAGAAGATGGGGGAATTGGGGTTTTTGGAGGAGTGGGTGGCGTTTGTGAGGATGAAGAAGGGGGGGTGGAAGGCGGTGCTGATGGTCGACGGGAGAAGAGAGATGGATTCGGTTGTGGGTTTGGGAGTTGATTGCCTAGAGGAAGAAGATGAACAGTGTTGTTTCTTTTTTTAGGCGATGTAGAAGAAACGAAAAACTATTGCTAGGGTTTCACACCTCAGTTAAGCAAAATAATTTTCATTTTTATTCTTCAATTCGTCAATGATTCAAAAATCTGATTACAGAGCTCTTTTATAGAGCAATTACAATCCCTCAAATCACTCTAACCAATTATTAACTTCCAAATCTAAATCAAAATTCAAAATTCAAAATTCGAAATTCGAAATTCAAATTAACTACTAAAAAACTGAAATAATTAAAGTTCAACTACAAATAAAGAAATGACATTCTTGTCCTCATCAATTTTGCTTATTGTGATTAAGAGCAAACATAACCTTATACGCAAAATCTGCATTGAACACACAAACACAACTAGACGGGCGTGCACGAAGAAATGCAGATCTATGATTAATAATACTTCAAATGAAAACTTCCTCTCTTAAAATCATATATATCTAAAATAAAAGGATACGATATTCAGAGAGAAGGTGATCGTCTTTCAGGACCTTCCCTCTATATATCAGTCTTTGCCGTTGCACAGGAATACCAGTCACATCTACTAGCTTCTCCTTCAACACTGGTACTGGCATCTGCATAAAAATAAGAATGTTCTATGAACAAATCCATCTAAGCTTCATTCTGCACAAAGGAGGTATATAGCTATCGAGCTAAAGAAAGAATTCAAAGGTAAAACATGAGGCAAGCTTAGTGTTTTATAAAAGAAGACAGAAATAACTGTTAGCTAGTACCAGAAGCTACAGAGATTCCGATGTTCCTCCAACAAATATGGCAGACAACTGTTAGAATTGTTAGAAGCAACTTTGAGTCGTGAAATTTAGAATAATCCCAGCCAAGTGAGAAAATCATCGGCTGACAGCTTTATTTTTTTTAGCATTAACTGGATAAAAGGTTACATCAAAGAAATTTCCATGTAAAACATGAAGCTCACTATCATTCATGTGCTCAATATATTAGTTCCAAGAAAGCATTGCCATCAGAAAAGATCAACAATAAATCCAATATCTGCTGACAAATCTATAGATGCAAATTTCTCCTCGCAAACTATCTGAGTTAAGGACCATCGACTGGAAGATGAAACAACAATAAGATGTTGTCAACAGGCTACTATCATGCTTCACTCGCCCTACTTTTCAGGTCTGAAAGAACTCAGTAGAAGAGACAAGATGGTCAATTGTCAAGCATACTTCACAAGTAACTATCTTTTCTCAAGTAAAACACTGCTTAGATTAATCCTAATAAATTAACCAGGCTCAAATTCTACTAACTGGGAGGAGTCAAAACTTATACCCCAAAAAAAAGGAAGGAAGAGTGGTGACGCCTTGATTTTTATACAAAATTATTAGAAGCTTTCATGGGTGTGTATTGCAAGCATGCAAAACTCAAACACAAACCTATAGATTCAGAGGCGTTGGTTAGTGCACTATGCAGCTGTGTAGCACGGACACGGATCCGACACGGCCATCCGACACGCCGACACGAGGCAAATCCTAAAAAATACATAGGATACGTGTGTTCGACACGTGTGTCCGACACGGACACGACACGACACGGCTTCATGTTATGCGTGTCCGTGCTTCATAGCTATGCAGTATATACACAGCTACACAAAGAATCCCAGAGATTTCATGTACTGTATGTAATAAAGTCTTTCTACAAGGCACAGAGACAAACACAAACAAACAAGAAAATATATATATATATATAAAAGAAAACACATTTTGTAATCGTGATTTATACCATATGAAGTGGAACTCTGATCACAATGGGTACACTAATGAGTAAGATTGATAAAGTCACAATTAATGCAAAAACAACTAATTGAAAAGCAATAGTCATATTTGTAATCCTCCAAGCTACCAACAAATGAGCTAATACCAAATGAACTACACCATTTGATCCCCTGCTATGCTTGGACAACATGTAAAGTGATTGTGTGGTCAGTGCTCAATGATAATCTATGTTGCTTAGCAACAAGTAAAGCATACTAGACCAAAAAAACATGCTGAAAGTTAATTAAATTAGAAAACTCACTAAGTCCATCAGTAAAGTCCACTTACTAAATGTATACAAACATAAGTATCTGATTCAGCAACTGATCGCAATCACCCAAATCAAAATAATCAAAAACTTTACTAGTGACATTTCAAAGCAACAAATACCACATTAATAATTTCTTTCTTTCGTAATAGTTTTTACGTGTAAAAATTGCACCTGCAGTAGATAGTTACCAAACTGAAGTAAAATTCATTACGAAATTGTTTATTTACTGCAATCAGAACTTTATGTATATATCGGTGCCAAGTTGGCAATCAGGAATAGCATACATCTTTGCCCACACGAAAGGTGTAGATCTTCGAATCCAAAGTTTTAATATTGATCTCTACAGTCGACTCCAGATTTTCTCCAGTCAATGAACCTGCATCCGCTGTAGAAGCTTCATCCGCCATCCTGTGAAGTAATAAAAAAGTAACCATGCATTCAAAAATAATTAGAAGAAACTAAAGTAACCATGCATTCAAAAATAATTAGAAGAAACTAATAAAAGAGAGGAAACAACAGGAGCGAGTAGAATACAACTACACGTGAACTCTGATAAATATTAAAATGAAAAGCATTAGGCTTTACCACTAATGACAAGAGGATAATCTCTATGGCTGCTAAAGGTCAAGCTTGGTCTAAGAAGCACTGTAAATTATTATGCATCCATATAAAGGGAATCTCTGAATGATACACCTTCACATTTGCAATCATTTCATTTGATTAAACAAGTCCAAATTCATATAGAAACTAAAGTTTTATATTGCCCATAAGTTATAGATAGAACAAAAGTTCAGGTAATTTCAAATGAAAAAGAAAACATGAACCCACATGCATTCTCTTTTTATTGCCAAAGTTGTAGTCGTTGGTCACATGTAGTTTCAGTTTAGAAGAAAACATCAATCCACATGTATTCTCATTTTACTGGCAAAGTTGTGCTCTTCCATCTCCTCTTCATTTTGAATAGGGAATGACTAGTACCTTTTATCCGCAATCTATTCAGAACGGCAATGCCCCCCAACCCCTGACATGACCATCAATGTATCTATGAAATTCCATTCACCTATATAAAAGCAGGGCATTCCCAAGTCCCCGCGTCTTTCCTGCAACTGACTGACAAAGAAAAAGATCCAACAAGCCTACAATATTGTTCTCTTCTTCCAAAGAATATTAACATAATGGGTTAAATAGGTCAAATGAGAATGTTATGACTTTTTTAGATAACATTCATGTTTTGTTTTGCATGGAATATTACATTGATATACATCAGGTGAATGCACGAGGAGATAATAACATGCACATTGATGACAACAACAAAGCCTGTACATATCTCACATAAGTGACGTGGAGGTTAGCTTATTGTGAGATAGAAGCGATTGAAACCCACGTGGAAACTTTTAAATACACCTTTTCACTGTAAATATGGAACTAAACTTGATATAATGGAACGGAACTAGATACATTTGAAGAGGGGTATGGTTTTGAAGTCAAATGCTTTATGGGATTATCATATGCTTTATTCTTTCACTGGCATTGGCATATTAGAACTTTAGAAGAATGATCAGGAATAGCAAAACCAAGGTGTTCAAGTGTGAATGGGACTGTAACGGGATTCATCCATGGTAACAAGTAATTGTATAGGATGGCAAAGGGAGGAAGAAGGGTAAGTTGAAGGTGGCCAAAGAGGACTAGTAGCCTTACAGGGTTGGTAGCTTCGAGTTTTCTTTCTTTTGGATGTATAATCTGATGGCACCTGCTGATTTTTTATAATGCTTTCAACCTACAATTTATGAGATTAAAGAAGAGGAAGGAGGAGGAACGAGAAGGGTTTCAACTCTTTGAAAGCGAGTTCAAGGTATATTTGTTCAATAATGATAACTAACGTTGTCAAAGTTTTCTCTACTCTTGTGCCAAAACTAACTAGACTTCAAGCGGGCACCATATTTTAGGATTTATATGTATGAACTTTTAAGCTACTACCGTCCAAATAGATGTTTTCCAAGGACCTCTAACACAACATAATTGTGGACAGTTGAGACAAGAACACAAATACTATATCTCAGTCATCACTTTCCATCAAAATAGACCATCTATTAACTGTGACAATGTAGAGAACGATGATCAAAAGAGATTTAAAACCAACTATTGATTTTATGATTGGTACTTCTAGTAGCTATTCATAAGGCAACATCAACAACATAGCATAGTACCGCACTATGCGAGTGGGAGAACCTGATCTCCCAGTGTTACCATCTAAACTCACACAAGCAACATTTTCGTCGTTTGGGTTTGATAATTTTGTCAATTTGTTATAAAAATATCACATTCGGACAGAATCACAGATGAAGTACATCTCAATCCCTTTTCCACACTACTACGTTTGCAAAAAACAAAAATATCTCCTTTATTGCCTAGGTTAACATACCAATGAGCAAAATATGAAATTGGGCAAAGGAACTGCAACCAAAATAATCGACTAAACGTTAAACTAGACTTTTAATCTAAACCCTAGTTTCCATCAGATTTCGCGAGACACCCCATTAATTTTGAATTTAAGAGGGTAACGTATGAGCTCCAACAATTAAAAAATTAAAATAAAATTTCTGTAAAAAAAGCAAAGCATCAAATCTGGACAAAAGTTGCAGAAATTAACATTGTAGAGATGATTAAGCAAAAAAAGTCAAATAAAATAAAAGAAGAAAAGAAAGGGATCGATCGCACCTGAGCTAGGGTTTTGTTGACGATCGAAATACGGGAATTTTTTTCTATCAGCGATTTCAACGGCGAACGAGGAGAGAATAGGAAAAATAAAGACGAGAGATTTCCTTCCTTCGTTTTTTTTTTTTTTTTTTTTTTTTTTTGCCCTTTGCTTTTTATTTTTATTTTTTAGTTTTTTTAAAATTTTATTTTTCGCTGCTGCCGTTGTTTCTGGAAGCCTCTGGAATCGGCTTTGCTTGTTTAGGTACGAAGGAGCTGGATACCATGAAAACTGATTTCAAGCTACGCGGGCTGATTCGGGTGGGCTCTAAGCCCAATCGCGCACAAGCCTAATTGTACCCTGATTTTGTTTTTTATTACTATTTTATATTTTATTTATTTATTTCCGGTTCTCATCATATTTGGAATTAGGGTTGTTTGTTTGCCTAAAAAAAGAGGGAAATCAAATAATAGGAAACATATTTCTATGAATTTTTTTTTTGAGATTGTTTGGTTGGTTAAAAAAAATTAAAGAATGAGAGATAAGTTGTCACATTATTATTGGATGACGTGGTTGATTTTTTAAGGAAATTTATTTTAAGGTTGTTTGGTTGGCTAAAAAAATTAAAATAAATAAATTAAAAGAAACATATTTCCTGTAATAGGTTCTTTTATTGTGTTTGGTTCATTCATAAAAATAAGAAAATAGATGAGATGATATGAGTTGTCATTATATTATTGGATGATGTGACCCACACAAAGAAAATCGATTTTCTAGTTTTTTGTAGGAAATAGGTGAAAATAAAATGTTAATGAGATGAGATGAGTTGTCACCATATTATTGGATGATGTGAGCGATTTTTAAAGATGAGATGTGATGGAGATGAGATGAGTTGGATGATGTGACTCATTTATTGTGTTTGATTTTTTTTTAGGAGATGATATGAGATGAGTCGTGGGATGAAATAATTTTTTATTAGATGTTGTGGTGAGTTTAGGGATGAAAATATTTTTTTTGTTGATTTCTGTGTACCCTTTTCATTTTCTTGGTTTTTAGGAAACCAACCAAACAGCCCCTTAAAGTAAGTCTAGGCTTTTAGATATGACAAAGAGATTGTTCGTGGAACTATTTTATTATTCGAATTGTTGTTTCGTGTATTTATTAAAAACTATAACAATAATCTTTTAGAGTTTAAGATTTACTATTGACCCATTTTAATGTTTTTTTCACAATCTCGTGATAAATTATTACTTTGTTGTTACAAAGACATTTCTCACAAATAGTTTTGCGACATTTTTTTTAATAGAATGATTAAGTTATTACGCATGTGACCCACCTCTCTGACATGAATGGTTGGAAAGTCACAATGTGATTGCCACGGTCTTGGATTTAATTTCGGAGCGAGCTATATATACAAAAAAAAAAGCCAAACGTGCATGTTCATACTGAATAGCAGTCTATTTTCTTCACAACGTCCTTCTAGTATACAAAAACTAAGCTAAAGATTATATATTGGTATCATTGACAATGAGGAGATTTTTCTCATTTACAATGATGTGACACAATCCCCACAATGTGAAGAAGAGAGAATAAAGTAGGAGAGAGAATTCCATATTGTGAGATTGTGCCATGTCATTGTCAATGAGGGAATCCCCCTCCTTGACAACGATACTCATTAATCTCTCTCTCTATATATATATATAATTATTTTACCTCTTTTCCAAATTAGGCTTAGATGGGGAGAGGCCTAAGCATGGATACAGAAATGAAAGCCCCAATATTCGGCCCAAACTCGGTTGCCAGTTGCTCGGCTCCAGCTCCAGTAAGCCCAATATTTAAAAACCATATAATATATGTAGCTCGATGGGAATTTTATGATTCTTTTAATAACATTTAGTTAAACACTTGCCTATTTTCAATAGCAGGGCTCGTATACGTTGTAGATATTTAGTTTCTCTTCGACTTTGCCATTCCTCGAAGTGCGATTGTGAGTATTATACAAGTTGCTAGTTGCTAGTTGCTAGTTTCAACGCCCTAGTAGCTGCTACCCATGAATTCTGTGGGGTGAAATCTGAACAATTATTATGGGTTTTAATAAAAGCCAACCCCCCCTGGTTTTAATGTTCAAAAGCATAAAACTTGAAGGACTTTAGAGCATCTCCAACAGTTTTTCCAAAAAATTTCTTCAAAATAGTGAAGCAAAAGACATATTCTCCAAATTATTTTTGCTCCAGCTCCAACAATTTCCCTATTTTAAAGAATCTTGTATTTATTATAATAATAAAAATATTCTACGTCCCTATTTTGGGATGCTCTTATGCATTAGAACTGCTCCCATAGTTTTTTTTGTAATTACAGATTTTGTTTTATATTTATTTTCTCCTTCATCTCGTTTTGAAGAACGTGCTACATTTAGGCCAAAGTTTTTCCCAAATATTTGAAAAATGCTCCAGATTTGGGGAAGACTCCATTTTTTCTCATTCATCCCTATTTTGGTGTATAGGATGGGGAATCAGTTGGACCAAAAAAAACCCAAAATTCTTCAAAAATAAGAATATCAATAAAATGAGGAAGCTGTTGGAGATGCTCTTAGACTAAATATGAGCACTCAAATGCGTTACTAGTTCGCTATCTTTATACTTAAATATCCTAAGTTATAAAAATTAGCATTTTAATAACGGAAGTTATAATAAACCAGCACTTTAATATCGCAAAGTTTTGAGGAAAAGGGCACTTAAATACCCTATTGTTTCACCATATTTACCCTTAAAAGATCATAAGTTATAATAAAGTAGCACTTTAATACCATTAACTGTAAGAAAATAATATTCTAATATATTTTTTTAGTTGTCAGGACATATTCTTAGTAACGTTATAATGACAACTAACAAAAGTTACTAGACGACTCCTATCACTTCATACAAAATAGAACTAGAAAAACAGTTGAGTACAACATAGCCACTTTGCATTCATAGATTTTTAATTATATTTTGCGAACATATCTGAAATTATTTTTAATTAGCATGTCAGTGCTCTTTATCATGCAAACATATAATTATTATCCGGGAACCTCGATATGGCACTCACATATGGGTTGTAGAACTATTAGACTCCTATCACTTCATACAAAATAGAACTAGAAAAACAGTTGAGTACAACATAGCCACTTTGCATTCATAGATTTTTAATTATATTTTGCGAACATATCTGAAATTATTTTTAATTAGCATGTCAGTGCTCTTTATCATGCAAACATATAATTATTATCCGGGAACCTCGATATGGCACTCACATATGGGTTGTAGAACTATTA